TGTTAATATGTCATTCCTAATTAACTTGTATGACATTTTTTCCTGATGACTGATAGCCATTATATTTACTTGTATTTAACATAAGTATTTATAAGTATTTGTTGAAAAAAAGAAGAAAAATCGGGCAAATACCTCCTGAATGAGAGCTAGAGCATAAAACATTGCGATGAAGGACTTTTTGGACTAAGAGAATGATGTCCTGCCCATAATTTGAGTATAACTTATTCTATAGAACTCGAAATCACTCGATTCGAGTTTCATGTGAATGCTTACCCAATAAGGTACAAATATTATAAAGACGTCATGACCAAAATATGAAAGGAACAAGACTCAATCAACCAACAAAGTCAGATGTTGCTGGTGGGATTTCAGGATGCATACCTCTCAGTATTTTATTCATATCTTTTGATTGGATGACTAAAATCACGTCATTCAAGTTTTGGTGGATAGAAGACTTCATTATCTACAACTTTCGTGAAGGAATCATGTCCAAATTCGTAGCGGAACATCCCCAAAATCCCGGGACAAAAACCATCACTTTTTTATCCATTTCGGAAGAAGAGAAAGGAAACGCATTTTTGGGCACAACAACCAGCGCCGGTCAGGCTAGAACCGGCGCCGGTCGGAAGGTGTTTTTCGCCCAAATGAGCCTGTTTTCGACCGGGGCCTGTTCTAGACTGACCGGCGCCGGTTGGGCCGATTTTCTGCTAAAACACAGCAACGTGCAGATGATTCTTGATGGGAAAACTTCATCTTCCTCAATATCTGATCAAATATTGCTTCCATACCTGATTGTTGGGCTCGAATAGACTAAAAGATGTCATTCGTTAGCCTATATAGAGCCCTTAATTCATCAAGCAAATTCATTCCATTCCATAGATTAATTCTTAGCTTTTATATTTTTGTTCTTGGTATTTTCTTCAAGTTCTTGAGGAGGAAACTTCAACCTCCGAAATCATTGGTGTTTAGGTATTATTTCCTTTGTAAATTCATGTTCCATTACATTTCAATATTGTATTGTGATTAATATGAACATTAGAGGCTAAATTCTTAGCTAAGGCTAGGGATGAACGAACCTCTATGCACACTAGGTGTTTGATAAAAGTTCTAAACAAATAAATTGTGATTTATCCTTTATATTTTGATTGTTTATGACTATGGTGTATAACATAGAAGTATGTTAAATTTAGTTTATGCTTGCAATTAACGTTGAAGTCTAAACTATGAACATTAAAGGATAAACATATATAGTACCAAGAATAGAAATATATCCGGTCTTATATGATACGGGTGTCATGTTTTGATATTCAACGGGGTTTTCGGTTATGTTGTAAAAACCGGACCGAGAAGCGACCTGGTCGAGTGATTGGGTCACGGGTCAGCCCGGAACCGGCGGGTCAACCCGGTCAAATCCGTAAAACCCGGTCAACATTTAAAACCAAATTATTATTCTAATATATACAATTTTTAATAAAATATAAAATGTAATTTGAATTAGATGACCAATAAATATGAATATGATGTTTATGGAAAATATAGCAATAATACGTACTGATGTGTTACTGAGTGTATTTTTATTATCATTAACGTAGAAGCTCATTAAAAAAAATTATGAAGTATGAACAAGTTTTTGTGTAATGACGCATACAAACTGTATATGTAATATTTATAGTTAAAGCAAGGCACAATAACAGTTGCCTAGGTAGTCTGATGGTTACACATTCGGGTTTCTCCCTTGCCACCAGGGTTCGAAACCCTTTCCCTTCTATTTTTGTGTAGATCAATACCGGGCTTTCTCTAATTTACGGGTTTGGGCCGTTCCGGGTTCCGGGCCGGGTAACGTGGGCTAGCGGGTAATCCCGGTTTCGGACTAATTAACGGGTTGAGGTCCAACCGGATTGGGCTCCGGGTGACCGGGTTCCGGTCGACCCGCCTGGTCCGGTCCGGTTCTTACAACATAAGTTTTCGGTAGATGAATGTAAGCCGTAACGGGGCATACACGTAACGAAAACCACACTCTCGCTGCCTTAATCGGAGTTGAGAATATATTAGCGACATCGTATTCATTATTATTGGGAAAGAACTATTATTAAACAACTATTAAAGCATTTAGGTGAATCCCGATTGCCGTAGTAATTCTCATTCTTGTTCAAACTAATCTCAAAGAGCAAAGTTCCTGAAAAATAATATCATTTATATTTCTTGCATTCAATACTCGACTTTATAATATCAACTATTTCCTTGTGGATCGACCCGGTATTTTATTACTATATCGGAACTTGTATACTTGCAATTTTAGCCTGATCAATGACCAGAGTGGTGGTTCTGGGGTGGCAGAGGCGACAAGGTTTTTTATATTTTATTTTTCATTTTTTAAATTTTTATTTATTTTATTTTTTTAAAATTTTTATTTTATACGTAGTATTTTTTTAATGGCGAGATTTTTACTCGCAACGAATAATCTTAGAAGGAGCATCGAAATCAATCCTTTGTGCTGCATGTGTGGCACATATGAGGAGACAAGTAACAGACTTAATTATTTGCTACTCCCTCCGTCCCTTATAACTTTGCCAACTTTCCTTTTTTGGTTGTCCCAAAAACTTTGCCACTTTCCCTTTTAATCAATCAATTTGTGGCTCCTGTTATTTCTCTCTCCTCTGCACAAATATCTACCACACAGTTTTTACTTTATTATTTTACGTGCCGGTCAAACTTGGCAAACCTTTAAGGGAGGGAGTACTTGTGATGTTTCTTCTGAGATGTGGTGGTTTTTCAAAGACAGAGATGAATTATTTGATTGGGTTAAATAAGTGTGTTACTACTTTGTGGAGTATCTGGAAAGCTCGGAATGAAGTGATTTGAAAGCATAGTAAATTCAATTGGTCTCAGATATTGGTTGTCAGCGAGTCAATGTTGTCAGCATGGCGGAGGGCTCAGGAAAACAGAAGAATGCATGATGCGGCAGGAAATGAGGAGAGTTTGTGTTAGAAGTTGGGCAAGGGGATTAAAATTAATGTGGAAGCTGCTTTGGATAATGGGAGGGAGAAAGGAGTTTGGGGCTGGGTAGATTCATGACAACAACACGGTGGAATGCTACCTTGACGGAAGCTATGAGATTATAGGAGTGTTTGCAAGGGATTATTTTAAGTGCTTTTCAGCTTTTAGCTTAAAAAAAGCAGAAATTAGTGTTTTCAAACACCAACTTCTACTTTAAAAAAGCGCTTTAAAGCTAAAAGCTGGAAGCTGGGGTTGGAGTGCTTTTATCTGCTTCTTGACTTTTTTTGTAATTCAATCAAACTTCAAGGATAATTTTAATGGACCACTTATTTATTCTGGACCAAAAGCACCTCATATCAGTACTCCTTCGTCGGATTCCACACATAGGCTCATCTTCGTACTCCTTCATAGGACTCCACACACACAGGCGGCCGTGAATGACACCACCACCCGCCACCACATGAAATCTTCTAGATCTTTTGGGGCAGATGTTACAATCGAGCTATCCATGCTTGTTGTGATGTCTCTCAACATTCCTTGATATTGCAGGAAGCAATTTCAATTGAGAATAGATGAATGAATTACAGGAAGTAATTTCGATCAAGAGAGGAAGCATTACGTACGAGTTTCTAATCTTGCAGTTGGATTGAAGGAATCAATTGCAGGAGAAATCAGAGATGGTGCCCCATGCCCATACCCCTCGTTTGAAAGATCGGGTTGCCGGAATCTTGGCAGAGAGATGCTCACAAATACTCAAGGGCATTTTTGTAGTTTAATAAAATATTCCATCAAAAATCACTTTTTTACCAAACACTACAACTTTTACATTTTAATTAAAATCACTTCTATTCCCAAACACTACCAACTTTTACTACAAATCACTTTTCCAATAATCTCTTAAAAAAATCAATTTTAAAAAGCACAAGCAATCGCAAACACTCCCTATGTGTGGTGCTACAGTGGGGAAGCCAGCAGGATTGTTGTGTTGAGAATCTTTGGTGGTAAGGATGTTTTTACTTGGACTGTAATTTGTCCCAGACCAGACCAGACCAGTCCAGATCAGACCAGACCAGTTCAGACCAGACTAGACTTGGATAGTTATAAAAATACAAAGAAACCAGACCTTACCAGACCAGACCAGACCAGATCAGACCAGACCAGACCAGCAAATTACAGTCCAAGTAAAAACATCCTAATTCGTATTTGGATGTTATTATAGAAGATATTAGACATATTTTACTTGACCAAGCGGAGACTTACATCAATTGTTTTAGACTAGTTTTATTTTTCTAGTCCTACTTGTATTTCTAGTTAGCTGGCCAATGATACTTTGAGTTAATAAAATATGTCGACATGCTGTTTCCTCTCAAAAAACAGTGTTTTTTTAAGGAAATATGTTATATTAAAATGGGAAAACTGTCAAATAGGTCCTCGAACTTTCATAAAAAAGTCAATTAAGTCCTTCTATAGGAGACTCTGTCTGGTCGTCGCGATTTGGGGCAGTTCCCGGTGCAATTTTTTGATGAAATATTTTGAGCATCTTATTTATCAAGTATAGTTTACTCATACCAAATTTCAGCTAAAAAATTAATCGGGAGCGCATTCAAATTAATTCGAGAACGCAAAAATGCGCAGTTATCTTCAAGAATTAATTTGAATGTGTTCCCGATTGAATTTTTAGCTGAAATTTAATATGCGTAAACTAGACTTGGTGAATACGATGCTCAAAATATTTCATCAAAAAATTCCACCGGGAACTTCCCCAAATCGCGACGGTCGGACAGAACCTCCTATAGAAGGACTTAATTGAACTTTTTATGAAAGTTCGAGGACTTATTTGACAGTTTTCCCTATTAAAATCAAACGATCCAAAGCAACAATCATATCCCAAACCCTAAATCTCCCTCTATCCAACCAAAAGCTCATCGACCTCTCACATCATGACCAGACATAGAAAAATCCACCCCGAGAAGAATGAGATTAATCGCTAAAATTGTGAGAGCAAAGAAGTTATTAGCAGCTGAATCATCTTGATTGCCTCCATTCAGAAATCTAACACCTAAAGCAAACCAAAACACCAATCTACCCCCTTATTGTAAACCAAATAACTAACAAAATAGAAATAGTAAAACAGTGTGGACCGAAAATAACAAAATAAAAATAGTAAAATAGTCTTGTAAACCCTAGCCGCACAGTACGCACATGTCGGCGGTTCAGGAGGGGGACAAATCATCATTTTCTTGTCTTCTTTCTTCGTCATCTGAATCTGGTTCGCCCAAAGAAGATCACCGCCACAGGCCTTGAGTTTTTCTGATTCCGGATCCGGACCTTCCACCTGCCTCATGATTGACTGAGAATCCCGTTGTCTCCTTCTCCTGTACCAACCATCCAACGGTTCCTCTCCTAGACCACGATGTACACCGCCGTCTAGTACCAGAATCCTTGACACCGCTTGTCACGCCCCAGACCGCAATCCAAGCGCGTGTACAACCGCCGTATAACTAAGTGACGTCACCCACGGGTCAACCTCACTTAATTACACAAGGCGTTCGCGAAAACAATCCATCCATACTCAGTAGTAAACATACATAACAACATCACATTAAACCAATGAATAACGGAAATATTCAACGGTAAGTCATGGGCCACAACCGGCCGACAACATGGGCATGCAAGCCCCAAAAATAGTTTATAGTAAAACAAATATCCATGAGCAAGTGTTCGGTAGTTTGAAAGAAAATAAGGAAGCACGAACCACGTCTCCCTGATTTGATATCACCCGTGAGAAGGTGCAAGTAGCAAGCTCTAGCTTCAACCTGAAAATGGTGGGGGGCCCCGAAGGGGTCAGTACAAGTACCGAGCGAGTAGCAGGCTAAATATAGAATAACTAGCGTTTCAAGTATAAGACCCAAACATAGGGTGATACTTAAATAAATAATCTTTCCCCCAAGTTATGAAATACTTATTAGTATATATATATACTTGGAAAATATCCGATCCGTTGATCACCATTTTATTTGGGAAAAATAGTAATAGTCAATATTCTTGACTAAAAACCCCAACCCACCCATATACCTATGAGTGTATAGGACTCCTCCTTGTCCCTATTTGTATATCATAATCTATGAGTTTTAGGATCATAATCCTTGGATACTCCACCGGTTTATGAGTGTTAAGGACTCATAAGTCCTAGGGTCCTCCACCAAGTTTTGAGTGTTAAGTATTTTTAAGTACTAGGGTCCTCCACCAAGTTTGAGTGTTAAGGACTTTTAAGTCCTAGGGTCCTCCACCAAGTTTTGAGTGTTAAGTACTTTTAAGTACTAGGGTCCTCCACCAAATTTGAGTGTTAAGGACTTTAAGTCCTAGGGTCCTCCACCAAGTTTGAGTGTTAAGTACTTTTTAAGTACTAGGGTCCTCCACCAAGTTTGAGTGTTAAGTACTTTTTAAGTACTAGGGTCCTCCACCAAGTTTTGAGTGTTAAGTACTTTTTAAGTACTAGGGTCCTCCACCAAGTTTTGAGTGTTAAGTACTTTTTAAGTACTAGGGTCCTCCACCAAGTTCTCCTATGATCAACCTCCTATCAACCTAGATAGAGTCTATATCATCCTTAGTTACTCATAACTAATCCAATACATAAATCTTATGTATCACAATCCATGCAAAGCCATGCATTTACATAGGTTTATAATTAATTAATACCAACCGGTATTAGTTAAATCCTTTGTTCTTCGGCCCACGTTTTCGTTGACCGTCATTTCATGCCTTGTGTGTATCAACTTAATTATCATATAATTAAGTTAATAATATTCATTTGTGCTTCCAATACACTTCAAGCAAATATGCATTTCATATAATTCTTCATATCACATTCCATGCATCAACAATTTATTTCTTTCATACAAACTTAACCATATTGGCTAATCACATGTTTAAATATCTTTTAAACATTATTATGAACTCATATAACATTTATTTAGGTAATCTCATAATTAACCCAAAAGTTATAAGATATTAAGCCGTCCACTCACCTTGAACTAGCGTTATGAAGTTCTACCCTCCTTGGTTGAACTCCGGTGAAACTCCGGCGACTTTTGGTCAACTCCGGCGACAACTCCGACGACTTTTCCAACTTTGTGAAACCACTTGAAATACCCTTTACAAGTTCCTAACAAGGTTTTATAATCATAAAACCCATGTTAATACGAATAACCTCAAAAAGGTTATTTTCCGGTGAACCGGTCGTTTTGGTCTCTAAGTCCGTTCTTGGACATAGAACCATCTTCCTACCCATAAATCCATACTTATAACATGTGGAACCATACTAAGGGTCCTTCACATGATATATACCTCATATGGTAGAAGAAAAATAAAGGAGAAGTTATAATAAGGTCATTACCTTAATTATTCACACTTTTCCCAACTTTTTCCCTCTTTAATCTTCCTTCTTTGAACACTTATGCTTGAGCTCGAGTTTGGTGGCTATGGAGGATTATTTGAGAGGTTTCTTTCCTCTTCCTTGGTGCTTGGTCGAGCTAATGAGTGAGGGAGGGGAGGGGATGGCTCTCTTTGTCTCATTTGGCAAATGAGTGAGGAAAAGGGCCCCTTTGGGTGTACCTTTGATGCCCAAGCCTCCTCCTCCACATCTTCCTTAGTCAACTCCAGCCCATCTTTGTCTAATCTAGCACAAAAACGTGGGGTGGCCCCCACTCATGTGGGAGGTCATCCCTTTGTGTCCCGATGTGTACAATCGGTCCCGAAAGTTGTATTTTTCGGACTGTTTTAAATATATTTTATTTTATCGGGTCGAATAAAATATATTGCGTGTTCCATATCGTAATGGCCTCTTGAAATAATATATATCCCAAAACATTAATTTAGAAGTCTCCGAAAATCATTTCCGGGCTGTTATCTGTTAAATTGTCGGTACCGGTAATTGGGCTTCTTTTGCCCAATCGGCCAACACAGGGCCTTTCCACGACCCAAGTAAAATATCCACCACCATATAAATATTATCTTGACCAAGATGAATAAAATATGTGATCTCGGGAATGTTGGGTGGTCCCCGCTCCCGATGTGGGTCCCACGTGCAATTTACTATTCACGCGAAAGAAATAATAAAAATTTACAACTTCGTAAATTCATTAATCCTTTAATAAGGTTCAATACATTACTTACATAAAAGTAAATATATTTGGGGACGGTGTTACAAGTTCACCCCCCCTTATTTGGGATTTCGTCCCCGAAATCCAAGTGTCTAATCGAAAAGAAATGGGTATTGCTCTCTCATTGAGACCTCGGTCTCCCAAGTTTCTTCTTCGACTCGATCACTCCTCCAAATAACTTTTACCATAGGAATCTCCTTATTCCTAAGCTTCTTCACTTGTTGACCTACTATCTTCACCGGCTCTACCGCATATTGCAAATCCTCACGGATCTCTACCGGCGGTTTCTCAAGAATATGAGATGGGTCTCGTATGTATTTCTTGAGCATTGATACATGAAACACGTCATGTATCTTCTCAAGTTCAGGTGTCAACTTGAGACGGTAAGCCACGGCCCCTATCCTTTCAAGGATTTCAAATGGACCAATGTATCGGGGGTTAAGCTTTCCCCTCGATACGAATCGAATGATGCCCTTCCAAGGGGAAATCCTTAGGAAGACATCATCACCGACTTCGAACTCCAACGGTCTCCGCCGTTTATCAGCATAACTCTTCTGTCGGTCCTGAGCAGCCTTCAATCTATCCCGAATGATCCTTACCTTGGCCTTGGTGATCTCAACCAGCTCTATCCCTTCGAGTTTGGCCTCGCCAACCTCGTCCCAACACAACGGTGTTCTGCATTTCCTCCCATACAATGCCTCATACGGAGGCATGCCGATACTTGCTTGATAACTGTTGTTATAAGCAAACTCCACTAGGGCCAAATGCTTGTCCCAACTTCCTTGGAACTCCAGCGCACATGCCCTAAGCATGTCTTCCAAAATCTGTATCACCCGTTCAGACAGTCCATCCGTCTGTGGGTGAAAAGCTGTGCTAAACTTCAGTTTAGTACCCAACGATGCTTGAAACTTTGGCCAAAATCGGGATGTGAATCGTGGATCCCTATCCGAGACAATGGATATCGGGACTCCATGTAATCTCACAATTTCCACCGTGTAGAGCTTGGCCAATCTTTCAAGAGGATAAGTAATGTTGATAGGCAGAAAGTGTGCACTCTTGGTGAGCCTATCAACCACTACCCATACTGCGTCATAGTTGTTCACTGTTCGTGGTAGCCCCACCACGAAGTCCATGGTCACGTGCTCCCACTTCCACTCTGGGATGGTAAGTGGTTGCAAAAGCCCTGCCGGGTGCTGGTGCTCTGCCTTAACTTGTTGGCAAGTAAGGCACCGACTCACATACTCGGCGATGTCTCTCTTCATACCTGACCACCAGTAACTTTCCTTCAAATCTCGGTACATCTTAGTACCTCCTGGATGCATAGCATAAGCTGAAGAATGAGCCTCCTCGAGTATAGACTTCTGGAGTTCCTCATTCTTTGGTATGCATACACGATCCTTAAACAATAATAGACCGTCATCACGTACTCGGAAGTTCTCAACGGGTCCTTCAAGGATCCTTTCACGGATCTTCTGACATTCCTCTTCCATGGCTTGACTTCGACTAATCTCGCCCAATAGGGTGGGCCTAACCTCAAATTGAGAAATGAGAGCCCCGCACGTGGACACCTCCACGCGTTTCCTCAATGCCTGCAGACAAGTAAGTAACGTTCCAGACGTACTCTTCCTGCTCAGTGCGTCAGCCACTACGTTGGCCTTTCCGGGATGATAGTCGATGATCAAGTCATAGTCCTTGATCAACTCCATCCATCTCCTTTGCCTCATATTCAACTCTTTCTGAGTGAATACGTACTTCAAGCTCTTATGATCAGTATAAATGTGACACGTCTCCCCGTAGAGATAATGCCTCCAAATCTTCAATGCAAACACTACCGCCCCCAACTCTAGATCGTGAGTAGGGTAGTTCACCTCGTGTTTCCTCAATTGCCTAGAAGCATAGGCAATCACCTTACCGTTTTGCATTAGTACACATCCAAGCCCTTGGATGCTAGCATCGATGTAAATGTCATACCCTATCCCCTGTATGGGTAGGGCAAGGACTGGTGCTTCGGTAAGTCGTTTCTTCAATTCTAGGAACCCCTTCTCGCACTTGTCGTCCCATATGAACTTGGCCCCTTTCTTTGTGAGCTTCGTTAATGGAGACGCCAATACGGAGAATTTTTCAACAAATTTACGGTAGTATCCCGCTAAGCCAAGGAAACTAGTATCTCCTTCGCATTCCTAGGTCTCTCCCAATCCATGATCGCTTTTATCTTGGCGTTATCCACAGCAACACCCGAACCGGATATGACATGACCGAGGAAACCAATCTCTTTGAGCCAAAATTCGCATTTGGAGAACTTGGCGAATAGTTGCTTTTCCCTTAGCCGATCAAGTGCAAGCCTCAAATGGTGTTTGTGCTCTTCCTCGCTCTTGGAGTATATCAAGATGTCGTCAATGAATACTATCACAAATTGATCTAAGTATTCACTAAACACACGGTTCATCAAGTCCATGAATGTCGCCGGTGCGTTGGTTAAACCAAATGACATCACAAGAAACTCGTAGTGACCGTACCTAGTGCGGAACGCACTTTTAGGTATGTCACTTTCCTTGATCTTCAACTGATGATACCCCGACCTCAAATCAATCTTCGAGAATACTATTGCTCCTCGAAGTTGGTCGAACAAGTCATCAATCCTCGGTAAGGGATACCTGTTCTTGATGGTGACCTTGTTCAACTGTCGGTAGTCGATACACATTCTTAGTGTACCATCTTTCTTCTTTACGAAGAGTACGGGTGCTCCCCATGGTGAATGACTGGGTCTGATGAATCCGTTGTCCAATAATTCTTGTACTTGGACCTTCAACTCTTGAAGTTCGGCCGATGCCATTCGATGAGGAGGAATCGAAATGGGTTTGGTTCCCGGCTCCACTTCAATTACAAATTCAATCTCTCTATCGGGTGGAAGTCCCGGTAGGTCCTTGGGAAAGACATCCGGGTACTTGCACACGACTCGCACATCCTTGATGTCAACTTCTTTCTTGGTATCGTCCACCACGTAGGCAAGGTATGTGTGGCATCCCTTCCTCATCATCTTCCGTGCTCTCATCACGGACATGATACACGCATTAGATTTCCCCCGATCTCCTTCGAAACATAGCGTGTTTCCTTGATCATCCTCGAGCTCCAACACCTTGGTGTAGCAATCTACTCGAGCATGGTGCTTCTCAAGCCAATCCATTCCTAGGATTGCATCGAACTCCAACATGCTTAGAGGTACGAAATCACAAGTCAAGGGTTGACCCGTCACTTCCACCTCACATGATGGATAGTAATGATTTCTCTCCACATCGTCTCCTAACGGTGTGGATACTACCAACGTTTGCGTCAAGGGTGTCAATGGCACGTCAAGGCCCTCGGCGAACGCCTCACTCACAAATGAGCGTTGTGCCCCGGTATCGATGAGGATCCTCGCACACCTACCATTGATCTTTAATGTTCCTACATTTTATACGCCATGTGAGATACATTTTCTAATGTTTTTACACATCTTTAGAAGGTTATTAGGTTCATTGCAATGTTTGGAATCAAACGGGAGTCCAAACGTAGAAGAACGGAGCGAAAAAAAAATAAGTTTTCGGTTGACAGGGGTCCAGGCACGGCGTGCCTGGGTGGCACGCACTGCGTGCCTGGGTGGCAGGCACGGCGTGCCTACGGGCGTGCCTGACCGAAATTCGTTGGAGAGCCACTGCCTCCCAGACACGATGCTCCCCCAGGCCAGGCACGGCGTGCCTGTGCAGCACGCACGGCGTGCCTGCAAGCGTGCCCGGCCACCAGTGGCTGCTTTTAGCCCGTTTCGGTCTAAATTCACCCGGTTTGACCCCGAGGTGGCCCGCACTCAATCCCTTTGACTTATATGATCAAAATAAGCCTAGAAATACATGGAAATAAGTGTATTACCTGCAACGGAGTCCGGGTTTGCTCGCGCATCCGCCTCAGTCATCGCGTACACTCTCGCTTGGGTCCCGCCTTGGTTTACGGACGCGGCATGACTTGTGGATGCGTTGCCTCTTCCTGTACCGCCGGTTGACGGTCCCGCACGGTTTCTTCCTGTCATGATCCCTCCTCCAGACCCCGGAGCTCCTCCGCCCCCCAGTTGTGGGCAATTGGCCTTCATGTGGCCCGTGTTCCCACATTGATAACACCTCGGGGGTGCATTGCACTTCCCAAAGTGATTTTTCGAACAGTTGGCACACTTTGGAGGCCCCGTCTTTTGGGAAGAGGATGCATGCCACCGAGCATCCCTGTTCTTCTTTGCCGGTGGTGCCGGTGTCTTGAACGAACCGCCACCTCCGCCGTGTTTATCCTTTCGTGCTTGCTCGGGCGGGCCCGAATTATGCCATTTCCTCTTTTTCGCCTCTTTGGCGTCTCTTTCTTTCCTCTCATTCCATTGGGCCTCCCCAAGAAGACCCTGTTCCACCACCTCGCTAAATGTCATGTGGCGAGAGTACGTAGCTCGGTCACGGATGTCCAAGAGTAGTGCATCCCAAAAGTGCTCCGTCATGCGGTTCTCATCAACCGCGTACTCTGGCAAGAACCTTGCCAAGGTTCTAAACTCTTGTTCCAGCTGCTTAACCGTGCGGCCATCTTTCTGTTTGAGGTTAGTGTACTCTCTCCGTTTCACATTCACCTCGTACTCGGAGTAGTATTGAGCATAGAACTCTAGCTCAAAGTCCGCCCATGTTATTTCCCCATGGTACTTCCCTTCCACGCTCTCCCACCACGTAGAGGTTATCCCTTCAAGTAGCCGTGAAGCGACAGTCAACTTCACGTCCGGTGTGATTTGCATGTCTCTTGATGCATCCTTCACCTTCTTAATCCAATCGGCGGCAACGGTAATGTCTCCGGTGCCGTCAAAGGACCTACACCCCAAGGCCCTAGCCTCCTTGAGGTACTTGGAGATTCTCACAACAAAACCTCTTTCACGCCCACCTTGTGACGCCGCTGGGGTGGCCACGGAAGCTCCCCGGCTTCCTTGACCCGAACCTTCACGAGAGCCACGCCTCGCTTGGCGCCTAAGGTCTCTCCTCAGTTTTTCTTGTTGATACCACTCAAGCAATTCGCCCATTTGGGCGAACTTGGCATCACTCTCTTCATCATCATCATCGGTGTATGTGTCACCCCCATCATACGGGGTCTCTTCATGCTCCGTCTCTGGAACGTAGGTTGAGTCATAGTCTTCGGTGTTGGTTTCATACACCGAGCTCACATGGCCATCACTCACAGTTTGAGCTTGATGACCTCCACGGCTTCCACGGCCTCCACGGCCTCTTCTCGAACCCCGAGATGCAGCCCGGCTTCCCCTTTGGGATGCTACCGGCGCCTGCCCCCTCGGATTGTTCCTGGTCCCCATTCGCCTGCCCTCCATTTCTGAAAAAAATATGGATGAGTCATTAGACTCCTATAAATGTCAATTGACGGAAGAACGTTACAGACACGTATTGGCCCAAGTCACTACCATACCAATTGTTAAGGGTACCGTCTTAACAATTAGAGGCCTTGCAACTTAAGCACCAATAGTCCTATAAACGTCAAAATACAATGCTCATGGTTTTCGGTAAAAACTCTTTTGCAAAAATCTTTTGTGAGAGGTTGATTATATAGTTTAGAACTGAGATGGCTCTGATACCACTTAATTGTCACGCCCCAGACCGCAATCCAAGCGCGTGTACAACCGCCGTATAACTAAGTGACGTCACCCACGGGTCAACCTCACTTAATTACACAAGGCGTTCGCGAAAACAATCCATCCATACTCAGTAGTAAACATACATAACAACATCACATTAAACCAATGAATAGCGGAAATATTCAACGGTAAGTCATGGGCCACAACCGGCCGACAACATGGGCATGCAAGCCCCAAAAATAGTTTATAGTAAAACAAATATCCATGAGCAAGTGTTCGGTAGTTTGAAAGAAAATAAGGAAGCACGAACCACGTCTCCCTGATTTGATATCACCCGTGAGAAGGTGCAAGTAGCAAGCTCTAGCTTCAACCTGAAAATGGTGGGGGCCCCCGAAGGGGTCAGTACAAGTACCGAGCGAGTAGCAGGCTAAATATAGAATAACTAGCGTTTCAAGTATAAGACCCAAACATAGGGTGATGCTTAAATAAATAATCTTTCCCCCAAGTTATGAAATACTTATTAGTATATATATACTTGGAAAATATCCGATCCGTAGATCACCATTTTATTTGGGAAAAATAGTAATAGTCAATATTCTTGACTAAAAACCCCAACCCACCCATATACCTATGAGTGTATAGGACTCCTCCTTGTCCCTATTTGTATATCATAATCTATGAGTTTTAGGATCATAATCCTTGGATACTCCACCGGTTTATGAGTGTTAAGGACTCATAAGTCCTAGGGTCCTCCACCAAGTTTTGAGTGTTAAGTACTTTTAAGTACTAGGGTCCTCCACCAAGTTTGAGTGTTAAGGACTTTTAAGTCCTAGGGTCCTCCACCAAGTTTTGAGTGTTAAGTACTTTTAAGTACTAGGGTCCTCCACCAAATTTGAGTGTTAAGGACTTTAAGTCCTAGGGTCCTCCACCAAGTTTGAGTGTTAAGTACTTTTTAAGTACTAGGGTCCTCCACCAAGTTTGAGTGTTAAGTACTTTTTAAGTACTAGGGTCCTCCACCAAGTTTTGAGTGTTAAGTACTTTTTAAGTACTAGGGTCCTCCACCAAGTTTTGAGTGTTAAGTACTTTTTAAGTACTAGGGTCCTCCACCAAGTTCTCCTATGATCAACCTCCTATCAACCTAGATAGAGTCTATATCATCCTTAGTTACTCATAACTAATCCAATACATAAATCTTATGTATCACAATCCATGCAAAGCCATGCATTTACATAGGTTTATAATTAATTAATACCAACCGGTATTAATTAAATCCTTTGTTCTTCGGCCCACGTTTTCGTTGACCGCCATTTCATGCCTTGTGTGTATCAACTTAATTATCATATAATTAAGTTAATAATATTCATTTGTGCTTCCAATACACTTCAAGCAAATATGCATTTCATATAATTCTTCATATCACATTCCATGCATCAACAATTTATTTCTTTCATACAAACTTAACTGTGACACTCCATAAACTTAATAAAAAGAATTTAATATTAACTAAGATGTGGTATTCATTTGTGGATAAATTTTCTTTAGTTTATGTTTCGGGACGAAACACCTTTTAAGGAGGGTAGAATGTGACACCCCAAAAATTTAAAAAAAAAATAATAATAAATATAAATTATATCAGTCAGATAAAATGTTACGAAAGTGACAATTTAATAATTAAGTGAATGACATAAAATTTTAACATCGGTGACATTTTTAATCTGATAAAAATGTTTCGGTAATAAAAGTGACATTTTAACAATTTTAATTGAAGGGTATTAATTATAAATATGTGTACCGAAAATACACTAAATACCATACAAAAAAAAAGGTGTTAAAAACAGTTGACTTTTTCCAACCGCATATACCTATACTTACACACACAATAATACGTAGATAATAATAGATGGTAATAATATTGGAGAATGATATAAAGAAGTGTACACATTCACATGCATGCCAACACATTCACATGCATGCGTACTAACCATAGGATCACATTAGTACAAGGAGTAACAATAATGTATACAAACAAAAAAAAAAATACACATTCACGCACATGTATATGTTAAAGCCAAGCCCATCCCCAACTAACCTACACTCACATGGGTTGTTCGTAGCTACAACCTCCAACCTCATAGTATAAATAAGCAAGAACAGACCTTCAACTCTCTTCATCCCCAAACCTGCGGTATATATATATATATATACGCGCGCGCACACACACACACACACACACACACACACACACACATATATATATATACATATACACAAATTTCGACCCTTCGTTTTAGTCAAAACCGAGCCTTGAAAACACTTCTGAAACCTCCCTCTTCGTGAGAGGAATCCAACGGTGAAAGAATCGTAGAAAACGGTCGTGAAACGAGAGATATATCACTTGCCGGAGTTCGTCGGGCTTACCGCAATGACGGAAAACGGCAAAGAAGGAGGTGCCGCCGCCGCTGCCAGTCCATCACTGACCTTCGCCGTCCCAGAGGTAGTCCACCGCCGACCTTCGCCGTCCCAGAGGGAGTGCACCGCTGCCACTGTTTTCTGCCACGAATGCTCGACGAAGAAGACGACTCGTATGTATACGTATATACTGATTATACTCTACTGTTTACGAAATGTTTTTAATTAAGTTTGGACTAGACTTTGCTAAATTAGTATGGGACCATAATAAAGGCTATATAACAATAATAATGCTAATCGTAGTAGTAATATCAATAATCATAATAACAATTATAAAAAGAAATGGGGTAAGGGATGTTAAGATGAGTACGTATTGGACCAATAAAAGTGATCTAGCTTCACTTTTAATAAATTGTCCCTTTTATATTAAGACCATCAAACATAATACGGAGGTAGTAACATTTATGTTATAATTCGAATAGTTTAATGTAGTTTTAATATGAAATTAATACAGGTAAGGCGGAATTAAAATTAGTAACAAGGAGGATTAAGAAATAAAGTGGTAAGATTTATAAAAGTACTTAATTAATAAACTCGAACAGTAAAATAAAAAGAAAAAAAAATCGGGGAACTTATTACAAAAGGAGTTAGTGACTAATTATGTCATCTTAATTAAAAAGGTGATTATTAGAGACAAGGATAGAGAAGAAGAACTAGGAGCATCAGGAATCAAGCAAGGTAAGTTTCTCTGCCGATCCAAAATGGTTTCCTCGTATTATATGTTATTATGTGATTAAAGTGTGAATTTTGAATATGTATTATTTGAAGTGACATTAAATTTATAGTATTTGAGAAAGTTGAGATATGGGGTATTAAACATTTTTAAATACCTTTGAGACTATTTAGAGAGATTGAGAAATATTTTTGGAAGTATATCTAAAGTCAAGATAAAATTTACGTTTTCATAAGAGGTGAGCACCCGGGAGAAATCCGTGGTGTCGGTTTTCCACATCCGGATAAATGTGGAGGGTGATTAAGGCTGCTACTACTAAGAAGTACAGTTTGAGTTTGAAGTGACATTTGGATCTATGATCCCTTTTAAGAAGAAGTTATAGTAGTAGTAGTCCCTAATCATTCAAGAATTTTAAAGGTGGGGTAGTTGGTAGACTGAGTCCCGATTACTCGTGACGACTTACTACTCAGAGGGCTTGGAATCCCTTTTAGGGGGTGTGCACACTTAAGGTAGTCGTTTCGTTTCCATTAGCAGTTGTGGTACCGGCAAAAGTCCCGGGGTGGCCGTACATAACAACGTAACCACCGGGCTCAACCAGAGTGTTGAGCACCGCCCTTCTAAATTACTAGGAAGATAGAGAAGAAGTGAATTTTGAGAAGTTCTAAGAGAAGAGTTACTATAGTATTTTCGAAGAAAAGTTGAGGACTTTAGTAAAGAAGTGATTTTGAGAAAAATCAAAGAGAAAAGAATTTTGGTGGAGGGTGTCATTTTTATATAGTATTATATGAAAAACTATTTTTAGCCAAACCTGATTATTTTACGGGGTTGGGTAGTACTTACTTAGCTCTAAAGCTAATTTTTGTTTCCTTTTCTTTGTTTTGTTTTCTGCACTTTATTTGTGCAGGTGATGATGCTTATGTGGACTGATGATTGTATGACCACGAGAGCGGTTTAGAGATGTTTTAGTCAAACCTAGTCATAAATAAACAATCCAATTATGTTGAACATTTGTTTTACTTTGTTTGGTGATTGCCTGTGCATTCGGTTAAGAGATGACCGGATGTGGCGGTAACACCCATTTCCCAATTAATGTTATTTCCGCTGCAAAACTTTTTATCTGTTTGAAAGAATGAATCAAGATATTATCAATAAATCTATTATTTCAAGTATTATTTTGGGAGGGAAAATGGGGGTGTTACAAATTGGTATCAGAGCATTTTTGAGAGATTTTTCAAAGCATTTATCCAAAAAGGTTTCTAAAAAAAAAAAAAAAAATCAAATATTTCTGAGGTTTTCTAACTCTTTAAGAGATACAACAAGTTGGTATGAAAGTCTGATTTTCAAATTAGAAATTTTCAAATAAACTTCACTTTACGTGACTATATATAATCTTCAAAAAGGCTTTATTTTTAAAACCGACGATTGAAAATTTTCCAAGATGCTTTCTAAAACGTTTTTTTTCCTTTATAAGATATTTTTTTTTACCGGTTTTCTAAATGCTCTACAAAAAAAAAAAAAGGAAAAATAAATCTTATAAGTCTAGGATCGTGGTGAGATTGTGAGATTTTGATTTTTGTTGGAATTTGATAATTTAAAATAGGTATATTTGTGTGTATGTTCATATATATATGCTGCTTGTCTAGGAAAGACTTGGAATCATTGAGATGAAACCTTTGAGATATGGTCATAATTGCTCGGTGTTTCATTTGGTGGAATATACGGTAGGAGGGTCCTAATTAGAAAATTTTAAGATTATATATATGCTTCGGGGACGAATCATTCTTTTAAGGGAGGTAAAATGTAACATTTCATAATTTTATATAGTAGAAATTGGATAAAAGTTTATGCTTCGGGGACGAAGCATTCTTTTAAGGAGGGTAGAATGTGACACTCCATAAACTTAATAAAAAGAATTTAATATTAACTAAGATGTGGTATTCATTTGTGGATAAATTTTCTTTAGTTTATGTTTCGGGACGAAACACCTTTTAAGGAGGGTAGAATGTGACACCCCGAAAATTTAAAAAAAAAATAATAATAAATATAAATTATATCAGTCAGATAAAATGTTACGAAAGTGACAATTTAATAATTAAGTGAATGACATAAAATTTTAACATCGGTGACATTTTTAATCTGATAAAAATGTTTCGGTAATAAAAGTGACATTTTAACAATTTTAATTGAAGGGTATTAATTATAAATATGTGTACCGAAAATACACTAAATACCATACAAAAAAAAAGGTGTTAAAAACAGTTGACTTTTTCCAACCGCATATACCTATACTTACACACACAATAATACCTAGATAATAATAGATGGTAATAATATTGGAGAATGATATAAAGAAGTGTACACATTCACATGCATGCCAACACATTCACATGCATGCGTACTAACCATAGGATCACATTAGTACAAGGAGTAACAATAATGTATACAAACAAAAAAAAAAAATACACATTCACGCACATGTATATGTTAAAGCCAAGCCCATCCCCAACTAACCTACACTCACATGGGTTGTTCGTAGCTACAACCTCCAACCTCATAGTATAAATAAGCAAGAACAGACCTTCAACTCTCTTCATCCCCAAACCTGCGGTATATATATATATATACGCGCGCGCACACACACACACACACACATATATATATATATATATACATATACACAAATTTCGACCCTTCGTTTTAGTCAAAACCGAGCCTTGAAAACACTTCTGAAACCTCCCTCTTCGTGAGAGGAATCCAACGGTGAAAGAATCGTAGAAAACGGTCGTGAAACGAGAGATATATCACTTGCCGGAGTTCGTCGGGCTTACCGCAATGACGGAAAACGGCAAAGAAGGAGGTGCCGCCGCCGCTGCCAGTCCATCACTGACCTTCGCCGTCCCAGAGGTAGTCCACCGCCGACCTTCGCCGTCCCAGAGGGAGTGCACCGCTGCCACTGTTTTCTGCCACGAATGCTCGACGAAGAAGACGACTCGTATGTATACGTATATACTGATTATACTCTACTGTTTACGAAATGTTTTTAATTAAGTTTGGACTAGACTTTGCTAAATTAGTATGGGACCATAATAAAGGCTATATAACAATAATAATGCTAATCGTAGTAGTAATATCAATAATCATAATAACAATTATAAAAAGAAATGGGGTAAGGGATGTTAAGATGAGTACGTATTGGACCAATAAAAGTGATCTAGCTTCACTTTTAATAAATTGTCCCTTTTATATTAAGACCATCAAACATAATACGGAGGTAGTAACATTTATGTTATAATTCGAATAGTTTAATGTAGTTTTAATATGAAATTAATACAGGTAAGGCGGAATTAAAATTAGTAACAAGGAGGATTAAGAAATAAAGTGGTAAGATTTATAAAAGTACTTAATTAATAAACTCGAACAGTAAAATAAAAAGAAAAAAAAATCGGGGAACTTATTACAAAAGGAGTTAGTGACTAATTATGTCATCTTAATTAAAAAGGTGATTATTAGAGACAAGGATAGAGAAGAAGAACTAGGAGCATCAGGAATCAAGCAAGGTAAGTTTCTCTGCCGATCCAAAATGGTTTCCTCGTATTATATGTTATTATGTGATTAAAGTGTGAATTTTGAATATGTATTATTTGAAGTGACATTAAATTTATAGTATTTGAGAAAGTTGAGATATGGGGTATTAAACATTTTTAAATACCTTTGAGACTATTTAGAGAGATTGAGAAATATTTTTGGAAGTATATCTAAAGTCAAGATAAAATTTACGTTTTCATAAGAGGTGAGCACCCGGGAGAAATCCGTGGTGTCGGTTTTCCACATCCGGATAAATGTGGAGGGTGATTAAGGCTGCTACTACTAAGAAGTACAGTTTGAGTTTGAAGTGACATTTGGATCTATGATCCCTTTTAAGAAGAAGTTATAGTAGTAGTAGTCCCTAATCATTCAAGAATTTTAAAGGTGGGGTAGTTGGTAGACTGAGTCCCGATTACTCGTGACGACTTACTACTCAGAGGGCTTGGAATCCCTTTTAGGGGGTGTGCACACTTAAGGTAGTCGTTTCGTTTCCATTAGCAGTTGTGGTACCGGCAAAAGTCCCGGGGTGGCCGTACATAACAACGTAACCACCGGGCTCAACCAGAGTGTTGAGCACCGCCCTTCTAAATTACTAGGAAGATAGAGAAGAAGTGAATTTTGAGAAGTTCTAAGAGAAGAGTTACTATAGTATTTTCGAAGAAAAGTTGAGGACTTTAGTAAAGAAGTGATTTTGAGAAAAATCAAAGAGAAAAGAATTTTGGTGGAGGGTGTCATTTTTATATAGTATTATATGAAAAACTATTTTTAGCCAAACCTGATTATTTTACGGGGTTGGGTAGTACTTACTTAGCTCTAAAGCTAATTTTTGTTTCCTTTTCTTTGTTTTGTTTTCTGCACTTTATTTGTGCAGGTGATGATGCTTATGTGGACTGATGATTGTATGACCACGAGAGCGGTTTAGAGATGTTTTAGTCAAACCTAGTCATAAATAAACAATCCAATTATGTTGAACATTTGTTTTACTTTGTTTGGTGATTGCCTGTGCATTCGGTTAAGAGATGACCGGATGTGGCGGTAACACCCATTTCCCAATTAATGTTATTTCCGCTGCAAAACTTTTTATCTGTTTGAAAGAATGAATCAAGATATTATCAATAAATCTATTATTTCAAGTATTATTTTGGGAGGGAAAATGGGGGTGTTACATTAACCATATTGGCTAATCACATGTTTAAATATCTTTTAAACATTATTATGAACTCATATAACATTTATTTAGGTAATCTCATAATTAACCCAAAAGTTATAAGATATTAAGCCGTCCACTCACCTTGAACTAGCGTTATGAAGTTCTACCCTCCTTGGTTGAACTCCGGTGAAACTCCGGCGACTTTTGGTCAACTCCGGCGACAACTCCGACGACTTTTCCAACTTTGTGAAACCACTTGAAATACCCTTTACAAGTGCCTAACAAGGTTTTATAATCATAAAACCCATGTTAATACGAATAACCTCAAAAAGGTTATTTTCCGGTGAACCGGTCGTTTTGGTCTCTAAGTCCGTTCTTGGACATAGAACCATCTTCCTACCCATAAATCCATACTTATAACATGTGGAACCATACTAAGGGTCCTTCACATGATATATACCTCATATGGTAGAAGAAAAATAAAGGAGAAGTTATAATAAGGTCATTACCTTAATTATTCACACTTTTCCCAACTTTTTCCCTCTTTAATCTTCCTTCTTTGAACACTTATGCTTGAGCTCGAGTTTGGTGGCTATGGAGGATTATTTGAGAGGTTTCTTTCCTCTTCCTTGGTGCTTGGTCGAGCTAATGAGTGAGGGAGGGGAGGGGATGGCTCTCTTTGTCTCATTTGGCAAATGAGTGAGGAAAAGGGCCCCTTTGGGTGTACCTTTGATGCCCAAGCCTCCTCCTCCACATCTTCCTTAGTCAACTCCAGCCCATCTTTGTCTAATCTAGCACAAAAACGTGGGGTGGCCCCCACTCATGTGGGAGGTCATCCCTTTGTGTCCCGATGTGTACAATCGGTCCCGAAAGTTGTATTTTTCGGACTGTTTTAAATATATTTTATTTTATCGGGTCGAATAAAATATATTGCGTGTTCCATATCGTAATGGCCTCTTGAAATAATATATATCCCAAAACATTAATTTAGAAGTCTCCGAAAATCATTTCCGGGCTGTTATCTGTTAAATTGTCGGTACCGGTAATTGGGCTTCTTTTGCCCAATCGGCCAACACAGGGCCTTTCCACGACCCAAGTAAAATATCCACCACCATATAAATATTATCTTGACCAAGATGAATAAAATATGTGGTCTCGGGAATGTTGGGTGGTCCCCGCTCCCGATGTGGGTCCCACGTGCAATTTACTATTCACGCGAAAGAAATAATAAAAATTTACAACTTCGTAAATTCATTAATCCTTTAATAAGGTTCAATACATTACTTACATAAAAGTAAATATATTTGGGGACGGTGTTACACCGCTCTGGGCTCTACCTGCTATCTCCCCTCTATCCCTTCGATCCCCTGCTGTGAAATCAACAATTTAAAGAAGAGACGCTGAAGCCTTAAAAAAACGCTGACGATGATATCGCGGCTCCAACCCTACCCGCAGACCTGCTGCGCACCTCCGCATTTTTTTATAAATTATCTATTAAAGGCGGTCATAGGGCCAGTTTGGCCAGGCATTTGTCTAGGGCCTCACATGTGGAAGGGGCCTCAAAAAAATAAACTAGTAGTAGTATGAATAATTGGAAATGGAAAAGTCTCCAGCCTTGGTGCAAGGTTTGAATCAAGTCAAATCAGCAATGAATCGGCAAAATGGCAAATGCCGCAATTCCTGAATTTTGCATTTCAGATATCTACTTCGGCGATTCTCATCAGAGTACCTAATCATCTACTCATGTCCATTAATTCCACGGTTATTGACTGGTGCTACGACATCGATCACCGAGCGCAGAAGCACCGATGCTAACCCGAGTGTTTGAGTCTAGTTCTCTGTTCTCGTTTTCTGTTGCTTCTTGACGTTATTGTGTAAAAATGACTAAAGCACTCAACCACCTTTACGAAGGATTGGAGGACCATTGGAAAAATGGAAGTGTGTAAATCTTTATTCTCTAGAATAAAGATTTTTACTTTTTAGGATTTCAGTTAAATTCCTCAATACTAAATACAATTACTGGTCTCAAATTAAACTTGTGATTATAATTTATAAAGTATTGGACCAATATAGTGCTATAAATCATTTATCCCTTTGTGCTACAGAGTATTTTGAATACTGAAATACTACATACTTGTTTTACTTAATTTGATTGAATAGTGTCATTTTTTATGTTTTTTTTATAATTGTATTGGTGAATTTTAACTTTTTGTTGCTCACATTGTATGGTGCAATCAGATTATATGAAAAAGAAATTTGAATAAGTTTTTTTTTTCATATGTTTTTTATTAAAAACATTGTTTGTCATGTTATACTACGTTGAAAACAAATTAATATGATAGCAGCTATTAAGAGAATGTTCGCAATAACTTGTGTTTAAAAAAAATCACTTTTTAAAGTGATTTTGGAAAAAATGTTTAATATTTAAAGTTCATAGTTTTTGAGAAAAATGTGATTTTAAAAATTAAAGGTTGATAGTGTTTGGTAAAATAGTATTTTTTGTGTAATAGAAAAAGTAAAAAACAGATTTTGGCTTTTAATTTTTCAATGTTTTATTTAATCAAAAGTTATCACTTGAAAACACTTTTTGTTGGAAAAATGTGTGAAAAATTGCATTAAATGGCTATTTTGGGGCAATTTTTTTGAGTGGGGTCCACTTCCGATTTGGATCGGGTCAAAGTGGTTTCGGATTGTCCTTGTTAAGGGGTACAATTCGATATATGGTACGCTCAAAACGGATAACGGGTGAATGAGAAATCGCTTTTCGAAGTTTACCCGTTAGAAGGGAAAAAGGATGAGTTTCTAGTGTGTTAATTTCTCACACCGGAAAACCCAAGGGATTTGCTACCCTTTATAAAGGGACTCCCCCCTTATGGAGTTAAGATTCTTAAGGGTAAAGGCTCTCTCCACGCGCGCAGGGGGGGTGCAAATCAAATCCCGAATTCGGAGAAGAAAAACCGCGACTTGCGTGCGCGGGCGACCGCGAATGTTTCTTCCCGAAACGTTTAATTTTTTCCCAGCGGCAGAAGTGCTCGGACAGAAGCCTACGGATCAGAACACCTCATTGGTGTTCTGATGGCAGCCCATCAGAGATGGGGTATTCTGATGGCCGCCCATCAGAGTTGGGCGTACTCTGATGGCCGCGGATCAGAGTTGGGGTCTTCTGATTGGCCTCCGATCAGAACCCCTCCCGGGGTGTTCTAATGGAGGTCTTCTGTCGCACTTCTGAAACGTTACAACAATTAATGCCCAACGTTCTTATCTTTTAATGCAGCGTTAAATGAACAGTTCATGGACGATTCAATGCCCAACGGACTGGTCATTGATGTCCAACGTTCAGGTCCATTAATTCATCATTTACGCACAACAAATCCTCCTATATAAGGGCTGGCAGGTGGTTTGCAACAACACACGTTCTTACACGATTTTACACGAATCCATACACGTTTTAGCTCTAAAAACACACTGCTAGTGATAGAGTATTAATTCTAGAGAGAAGTGAGAGCTAGAGAGAGAAAGTGAGTAATTATATTTCTCAACTTGGAACCCCCTATAATTAGCCCCTTGGGGTATATTTATAGGTAAAAATGTGGATTTGGGCCCCTAGCCTTGGGCTTAGGAGGCCCATTACAATAATCATGCCTTCTTTGGGCGAAATAAGGCCACTAATGGGTTGTGTACAATACTTAGTAAATACAATGAAAAGTACATTCTGCCAGGATGAAGTCCGGACGATGCGGTCCATGGACGATGCGGTCCATGACGATGCGGTCCATGGACGATGCGGTCATTGGACGATGCGGATCCTGCAGGGCTTCGTCCATATAATCCAGGAGCTATCTCCTTCCTTGGACGTCGCGAGCCTTTGGCCGATGCGGGTGTCCCGCTGGTGTTTTTTGGGCTGTTGAGTATGTGGGCCGTGGGGTCCAGGCCCATATACTCTATCAGCTAGCATTCTGAAAATTTCCTGAGTGTTCAGAATTGTTCTCGTTCGCTGGAACTTTTGTTTGTGTGCTCAAACATTAGTTCGTAGTCATTGTATCTTGGGAAACGATTGTTGCAACGCTCCTAGCACCGTGGGAGGCAACAAATACGTTTTAAGGACATCGTGCGTAGCACGAGCTTTGACTAATTCTGTTTCATCTCCTTTCTTGTTTTTCTCTTGTCATTTTATTTTAATTAATTTTCTTTATTTTCCGAAACACACCCAACACTTTTTTTAGCTTTTTTAAGTCAAAATCTAAGAAACGGTTTTTTTTAACTGTTTGCAAACATTGTCTAAGTATTCCATGTCTTTTTTGAACGAGTATTTGATGTCTAGGGCCTCCAATAGGCTCAAGCCGCCCCTATTATCTATGACTAGTATGTGTACCCGTGCACTGCACGGGAAAATATGTTCGTAAAATTTTTATTAAAATTGTCGGGAAAATGAATTGTACATGAATTCATCAATTAGTGTTTAAAAGAAAATTCAATCGACTATGGATAGAGCTGTCAAAATTAGTCGAAGTCCATAGGGCTAGCCCCTTTCATCTTATTTCACGGTGGGTTAGAGTTGTCATTCTTCAATCCTGTGAACTCACCGGTTTCAATTCGTGGTGCAACTTGCACGGGTAGCAGGTTAAGTGAGTTGACCCATACAGGTTGCGAGTCAACCAAAATGTAAACATCTAGTTTTTTAATTTTATTGTCTTCAATATTGATGCTTTTCTGCAATTCTACCCAAATAATTTCAAATATACTTATTAATTTACAACCCTTGTTGAACTATTATTTCTATATATAATCATTATTCAAATAAATTACTCTAACATTATTTCTATATATGTACCCGAACGTTAGATTTGAAAATTATATATTACAGAGTATATATAAAAGGTTGAGTTCAAATGAGAAGACACCTTAACGTGTAAAAAGTGAATTAGAATGAACAGAAATGTTAGATTTGAAAATTGTGCATCATTTGAAATAGAAATTTGCGCTATAATAAATTAAAAATGCTGTGACATTTTTGTAAAAAATCAACCTTTCCTATCCTTTCAAAGTCTGAATTATTTTAGCTATAAGTGTATTGTGCACCGCCATTAAAAATAATGTGCATTTTGAGATCATTAGGCATTTAAATGATCCAAGCTATGAAATTGGGGAGTGCTAACCCATTTAACAACTTGAACATAAATTGTGAAGTATAAATAAATATGAGACAAAAAAATGGATCTACCTTTAGAGATTGATCTGATAGACCTTGTGAACTATTAAATAGATACGTAACATCAAATTTGTCCCATTAAGATCGAGACATGTGCAGCTATTAAAAAAGAGTTTATCTAGCTAATGTAGAAATGAAAAGTAGCGACTTAATGTAAGAATGATTTAGAACTACATATGCATTATACTATTCGGAGCTACACAAACTTAGTGAACGAAAGAAAAACGATATGCCCGAGAAAATTAATGAGACGGGGGATGTAATAATTATCATATTTTGAAAACAAATAAGAAACAATTTATAAAACTCCCGAATAAGGGTGAATCTCCAATAGTTGATGAGAAAAGAAATAGAAGTAATATTTTTATTTTAAGAGTGGCTAAAAATTGTTAATTATTTTTATTTTTGAGTATTTGGATCTTGTAATACCGGTGAGCGCAAAATTTTACCTAATTTTATATTGAACATTATAACAAATATATACACATATATTAATATAAAACATGTCTATAATATTGGAATACATAAGAGTGGAGTTATGGAAGTTGAATAGTTTTTTCTTTAATTTATTGTTTTGCCACATGTCATTTTTTATACAAAGGATGTTGCCACATGTCAACAATTCCTCTAAAGAGTTCTTTAGGGGTTTGCTTTATTATATTATATAGATATGAAAACTAAGTTTTTTCTCTCTCTAAAATCGTGCTAATATTCGGTTTAGTAATTCTATATCATTTCCGTAATCCATATCACCATATGATTTAAACGACCGTGGACATTCATGATTAATTCACAACAAATAATTACCAACCGTTTCAATAGGGAACCCATTTAAGAAAGCTGTCTATATGTTATCCTTGATCAAGACAAATTTTCAAAGCTGTAGTCGCCCACCATTTATTCATATGGGCCATAAATAGATTTACTACTTCAAAAGAATATGCCAAATGCGTTACATAAATCAAATTTGAATGAAGTTCTTTGAACTTCTTTTCCAGGTCACCTCTCTTTAATTGTACTTAATTATGCCTTTTACTTTTCATCATTGATTAGTTTCCAACTACTCTACAGTTTTCAAAAATGATTCTAAAGAACTTTGTAGAATTTGTTTCAAAAACAAAGTTTTGATGTTTGGAGTGAATTTTGTGGTATGACTTGATTCAGGTAGATGAGGGCGTGTAAGAAGTGTTACCGCACAAGGCTTCTCGATTCAGAAGGCCCAATATTTTAAATAGTCTACATAATATAAAAATCCTTTTTTATTTGATTAAAGATTCCTATTTTAGTATTTTGTTTTTAAATACAAACATTCAATACTAATATTTATATGTAATTAAAATGCAATTGTTAATTATAAATGTGCAACTTCTTTATTACATAAGGCCTGGATAAGGCCTAGTTATAATAATTAGCACAAATTCATCGTACAATTTGGACAAACTTGGGTTTAAGGGACGGGGGGAGTAGTTTTTTTGAGTAATATCCTACTCTATAATTTTTAGTTCATGATTTTAATTCATTTCTTTTCAATTTTAGTTTTTTTATACCAATTTTGGTTGTTCAGGTTCAAAATATGATTATATCTCAATGTCACATTTGATTGTAGTCTTTTTTGGGTTATTTTTTAAGTGCTGCATTTTATATTATATTTATGGTGAGAACTCCGGTACTCATTTAAAAATGGAGTACCGTACCTACCATTCACTTGATTGGTTCAAATAGATATATCATTTTTAATTTAAACTTAAATAATTCAACTGTTACATTCTGATTGATCCATGTGGACAAATGTATAATACCTTTTAGGTATCATGGAATCTACCTAAGCTATATTTATTTAATATAAGATATATTTTACGTGATTTGCACCGAGTCTCCTAATCTATTGAGCAGGCCCTAACTTGATTTCGAAAATTAAAGTTGTCATATTTGCGGTGAATTTTGTGAAATACTCCGTACACAGTTTCATGAAATTCGATTCAACTCGATTCAAATACGATACTAGTACTCCGTAGTATTTAAGAGCTTGCTCTTTGAGATGGCCTTTTATGTTCTGACCTAGCTGGTTTGATTTTAATTGTGACATTACCTTTTAGGTAGTCCAGATTAATTTGATATTGGATAAAATAGGACTAAGTCATCAAAGATCTGCATATCAACTTTCCTAGCTAGATTTCTTAGCAATTAAATTCCTGGATGTCAAATTTCAAATTCACTTGTCAAAAATTTCAGCCATCATATTTAATTAACATAATGGTACTAGCTATTGTTTTCTTCTCTTAAGCATAGAACTTAGATGTGGGGTTTGATGTGTGTTTGACTTCACACTTCTGGTCTTTAAAGATGGAAGAAATATGAGTACGTACTCCGAACTAAACAAAAGATGCACAGTAAAGAAATTTTATATTCCTTATCTCTCCATTTCGAAAAGAAGTTGTCACTAACCTGCACACATACTTTATATTTATGTAGGCTAGAGTTTTGTTTTGACTTTTCAAACATATTGTTAAAATGTCCCACACTGGAAACGTTTGGATGAAGAAAGTGTTATATTAACATATGGGCTACTCCTCCTATCAGGTTGACTTTTTAGGATGGAACCTCGAGTCTTAACATGGTATCAGAGACAAATCGATCCATGGTGTGGGACCCCTTATGAAAAATGATGACATGATTATAAAAATGGCCGGGAAAAAAACGGACCGATGAAAAAAAATGAATGATTGCATGATCCAGACGAAGTGTCTGGTCGTGAGGAGGGGTGTTAAAATATCCCACACCAGAAACGTTTGGATGAAGAAAGTGCTATATTAAATTATTAACACATGGGCTACTCCTCCTATCAGGTTGACCTTTAATATGGAACCCCGTGTCTTAACACATATCATTGTTTTTTTGTCAAATAAAGCACAAAGTAACAACACTTTGTGCCTTTTTGCATTAAGGTGATTTTTTTAATAGAAATAGAAAATTCATATTGAGATATGTTGGATACATTATTTCTAGTCAGATCTCTCATCCATTTATTCGTGTTAAAGCTTGCACCTTATGTTTAGTCTCTCTCTGTTATTCTACCGTGACTCTGTTCCTTGTCTAATTATGTTGAATGTTGCCTTTTAAATAATATAGCCTCGCTTTAATTTGACCATTGATGTTTTGTCCCCTGCCTTGAGTTGGACCCGTGACCAGGGGCGGAGCCAGAGGGTCATGTGGTCAGTCGACCCCGATGAAAGTTTGAGAGTATTGAGCTCTGAAATATTTTCGATTTGATATATTATGGCCCCGTAGCTCATTATGAGTAAAAAGTTATGACCTCTGAAAAATCAGCAGTATCTAAACGTAAAATCAGCAAGTTTGATGCGTAATATTGATTATTAACTCATTATTTACATGAAATGATTCAGAAGAAAGCAAAGACAATCTATCTTATCACTTACGAATGCTTGTTTATCTAAACTACAAATGAAATATTCAACTCGGATATTGTCTAAAAACGATCTACATTTTCATTTTGAACCTAGTTGATTTTTCGACTCCTCTGAGCCGTTTTTCCGGCTCCGCCACTGCCCGTGACTAAATAATGTTTGACTCCACTATTATTTTAGACCTTGTTTCTCCTTTGTGTTGTAGAGCCTGAGTGAACCCAGAGAGCAAATATAGCAGACTTCTTAAATTCCTTCCTCTTTGTGAGTGAGAATTTCCTTTGTGTGAGTAACAAGAGAAAAGAGTATGGCTAAATGTGGTGAGTTGGGGAGTGACTAAACTCATGAGTGGTGTGAGTGATTCTATTGATTTTGGTTGAAGATCTAAGCTGAAAATGCAACAAACAAGACATTTATAAAAATATAATGAAATAGCCTACATTATTAATTATGAAGTAAAAACAAATAGGGGTCGAGATCAATTCAATTATGGGATCCGAATTGTGGATCGGTTTCCATTCAATTAATTTCGATGAACTGGGTGTAGTTTTTTTTTTTTTTAGTATTTTCGGTAACCTCTGTCATTTTGGATATAATGCTACCTCATTGGTACGTAGGGTCGTAGGGACAAGTAGTTATGTTTGTGATTCAATAGAAACTTCTTTTGTAATCCTAATTAATTCTCGTTAGGCTTTCTATCTTCAAGGTTTAGTAATCATGGACCATTGTTAGTCACACATAGCTTACATGTATAGTCAACAACCAGCTTGGGGCCAGCATTACCATTATTGGTGTGGTTGAACAAACCAACCTACCCACTTAGGAAAAAATTATTTGTACATCCTTCCTTTGTCCCAAATTGAGTAACAAATTTGATTCTTTTTGGATTAAACAGTCTCATTTTATTCACTTCATTAGAATATCGATTCTTAATTAAATTTTAATTTAGATTTTGTAACTTTATCGAGATTTTAATGTAATTTCTTAATATGAAATTTTTAATTATTAAAATTGAATATATATATTTATAGAGAGGATTTAAATTTAACATTGGTTGACAAAAGAAATTGACTTGGCAAAACAAATTGGGACGGAAGTAGTACTTTTTTATATACACTTTTGTGAGAAAACCATTTTTGTTGTTGTCGATCTCGTTCACACATATTTTTATATTTACCAAAAAAATAGTATTCTCACCTCACATGTGTGTATAAGAAAGTGTTACAAGAAGAATGGTTGAAAATTTATCTACCCCATGAGTTTCACTATTGTACGTAGTATATTGTCCTTCGAAAATGGAGATTGTAATTCGAGTTCTGTCCTAATTTTAAAAAAAAATGACGTTATTATAATAGGATACAAGTATTGCTCAAAAAATTACTATAACTGAACTTAAATTCAAAAAAAAAGAAAAGGAAATATTGTACTTTGTATATATGCTTAATAAAGAAAGCGAACATAATGCTTACATTCCTTTAAAGCCAGTCTAGGTACACATGGGCATAACCCACAATTCAAAAACACATTTATGTTTGTATATATAAGTAAACAGCGAGATTTGAAAGTAAAGGATAGGTAGCTGAATTAGTGAGAAGCTGGACGAATCAACTAAGATGCCGAAACAAATGATAACGGAGCAGCAGTTGTTGATGCTGAAGAACTCCGGCAGCGTCTTCAGCTACTCCGGGATCATTGGCAGTCCGATGGCCGACGACAAGGAGGACGATATGACAAAATCTGCCCTTTCGGCCTTTCGCGCCAAGGAAGAGGAGATACAGAGGAGGAGGAGAGAAGTGTCCGAGAAAGTGCAAGCACAGCTCGGTCGCGTTGAGGAAGAAACTAAACGTTTGGCTGATATAAGAGAGGTGATTAATTGAGGAGACACACAATAAGTTTCTTATTCATTATTTCTTAGATTTTTTTGTAGTAATACGTACTCCCTCCGTCCCAAAATGGTTGATCAAATTTTCTTTTTTGGTCGTCCCAAAAAGGTTGGCCATTTCCATTTAAAGTAAGGAATATGTGACTAAAGTTAGTTCTCTCTTCTCTGCACAAATTTCAATCACACAATTTTTACTTTATTAATCCACGTGCAAGTCAACATTGGCCAACCATTTCGGGACGGAAGGAGTATGTTTTTTTCTATGATTTATATTCCGTATCATGATAACATTACTTATATAGGAGTAAAATGTAGACAAATTGCAAAAAATTCTAAATAAGATCATAATTATTTTCTTCCAAACAAGCTCTTAAAAGTTAGAAATATTTGCGTGAAAAGTTAAATTAGTTGACAATCGGTATATTTAATACCCCTATATTTAAAAAGAAAAAAGATTGTTTTTTTTTCTTTTTTCCACTCTTCTAAACTCACCCTCTATATTTAACCCCCCCATTCCCTTCTCCATTTGTAATACCCCTTTTAAACCACCACTACACACAATTAGGACTCCAAAAGTTCCATATTTAACATTTTGGACTCTTAATACCTCACCACTCCAAATGGTCTTATAGACCTAATATCTGTTGGTAATGTCAATATCTTTGATTGGATTACATGGGCGGAGGTAGAGGGGTGGCCAACCGGGCCACGGCCCGCCCCAAATTTGAAAATTCTTTGTATTTTTAGTGTAAAAATTTATGTGGAAAACAAATTATCTGAAAAATTCTTTGTACCAGCCCAGCTCAACCTTCAATCCTAGCTACGCCCTTGGATTGGAATCTGACCTGAACTTAACTTTTCTTTGGCATGTCACATGAAATCACACTGCAAATTACTTGAGACGAATAACACTACAAAAAAGGCGGGATTGACACAGAATTTGGCACAGACTTATCAATTTTCGTGCCAAATAGTTCGTGTCAAAGTGTTTTTGGCACAAATTTGGCATATCCCTGCCAAAATCCGTGTCAAATTTGTGCCAAAATCCCTGTCAATCCCGTGTTTTCTTTGTAGTGTATAACCTATTAACTGAAAACCCGTAAAAAACGAGTTCATTTAAGCGGATCTGGGTTCTCTGCCTTATTTTGACAGCAAGGGACGGTGTCACACAGCTCCTCCTCCCCTTTGTCCCTGCCATTGGATGCCGCAAGGCACCTCTGCCGTGCGAGAGATGATCCAAATCCCATTTAAGCTAGGCATAACAAAGGAAGCACAAACTAGCATCGAATCTAACCCTTTACCCTTACTAAACATCATTATTTGATTTTCACGGCATTATTTCCATAATTATATTCTAAGTGCTTTTGGAATTTTAATGGATAATAACTTTTTTAAAATATATACTCCGTATAAAACTAACACACGTTGAGCAGATCAGAACTCGGAAGTAGTTCATGATAATTCATGTCCTATTATAAACTAACACGTAGTGTAAATTATCAAAAGAGTTAATAAATTGTAATTAGGGATTTAAATGATACTTTAATTATTAGGCCGGGACCTATTTAAAACAGTACTTATGCAAATAACTTAGCTTTAATTCTCACGATTTCTAGTTTTTATGATTTTTTCCGATCAAAATACATATTTAAAATATTTCGTTATACGTTGCCAAGTTTTGGGTACTAAAATCAAACGCTGATATCCGATTTTAAGTTTTTAATTTAATCGGTTAACCGTATTAATTTTCCTAAAATGTTTGTCATGTAAACAATAAAACAAATTACCAATTTTCGTTAAAAATGCTTGCTCCAGCCATCAGTAGAAATTAATCTAATCACTCTATGTAATTATTTTATAATGAACACCATCGTCAAGATACTCATGTTTTAAAGTATGATGATATGTTAAACATCATGATATGTTAAATATCCTTTAGGAACTGGAAGGATTTGTTGATCCTATGGCAAAAGAAGTTGCTGTTGTGCGCAAAAGGATTGATCACGTCAGTCGCGAACTGAAACCCATCGGACAGACCTGCCAAAGGAAGGTCAGCATTTCTATCCATACTAATGTTCTCTACATGTCATTTTACACGCCGGTCAAACTGTCCGTATGCACACAATTTGATCGGCGTTGTGTGAAAAAAATCGTTTTCACAAAACATTTTTTGTTGTGTGGAAAATGAATCTCTTCACAAAATGCCGGTCAAATTGTCTGTACACAGATAATTTGACCAACGTGTAAAATGTTGTGTACACGAAGCATAAGTGTTCTATCAATTTGGCTCATTTGTATACCTCTCTCTGTACACGCTTAATTTGTACTCTTCCGTCCAGAAAGTTAAGGTAGCTAGACATTTTTCATTTTTAAATGAAAAAATTAAATGCATACGGGTTTAAAAGAGACACTAAAGGAAATTCAATCGAATTAATACAAATAAAGAAATAATGACACTATAGCCGTGTTTGGTTGATTTTGCCTCCTAACAGTATTGTTGATGTACTAAACTCTGATTTGATTAATGCCAATTAATTGCTCTCTGTTCAAAAATAATAATAATAATGACAAATATATGACTACAATAAAAATAGTGAATACAAATATTACTGCTTACTTTTTATACTTCAGTGACTATCATTGTAATTTTAGTAATCATGATTATATTCAATTATACATTGTACTGATTATGAGCCCGTTTGGTAGCACCAAAATCGGCTGTTTTGGCTAATTCTGCTGAAATTTATGATATTCTGGCTGGAGTGGCTGTTTTGGCTGATTCTGCTGATTTAAGAAAAAAATATTTTAAAAATATATTTTATTAATAAATTAAAGAAAAAATTATATGTAAAAATAGCTAAAATGGTCCTCTACAGTAACTTCAGCCAATACAGCCAGAAAAGTAACTCCAACCTTACTTTTTCGGCTTATTACACAATTCAGCGCGCGAAAGTAAAAGTTACGTGTTTGGTGAAAAAGCTGGCTGATAAGCCTGATAAGCCGAAAACAGAGTTCTCCAAACGGGCTCTATATATATATAGTAATAACTATAGTAGGGAGTAATATTGTTTTACCACAGCTTAGATTCCAGTAACACTAAAGGAAAACTCTCTAATACAAAATGTCAAAATTGCTTTGTTTTTTCAGACTGATAATTATTTTACGACAAAAATGACTATGACAAAAACTTTGGGGGAGATGGTATTGTAAGATTTCTTCACTGGTACATTAGGCAAGCCTTAAAATCCCAAAACATAAAAAAAAAAAAAATGTACTGCGTATGACCCGATTTCGAATTGACGGTTAGTTAATGATGATGGTTAGCTGGACGGTATCTATGCAGGAAAAGGAATACAAAGAAGCTTTGGAAGCGTTTAATTTAAAAGTTAAAGAAAAAGCTCTGCTAATGACGAAATTAATGGAGCTGGTGGATGAAAGCGAAAAGCTGAGAATGAAGCAATTGGAGGAGTTAAGCAAGAGCTTAGATTCTCTAAACTAATTATTATAACGATAATCCATTAATTTGATATTTGAATTCGTGAAACTTGTTGATTGTGTACGTGTGGATATTGAAAATTATTTAATATTTTGGACTTACTATTCTATGATAGTCCATAATATTATTAAGCTGATTTAAATGCTACTGGACTACTATCCACGTTATTGGGCCTTTTTTGAATGTATTGGGCCAAAATCGGATTCTACCGGACTACTCGTATCAAAAGGAAAATATTAATATGGATCCTTTCAGATAAAATTTAGTGATTAAATTAATTTGGATCATTTAAAATATCCAATTAATTTAATTATAAGTTGGGTCTTTAACAAAATGGACCGATCCTATTAATTTCTCTATTTCGAGCCCAATACGGAGTATGAAATAGTGGCCCAATATATATGAGACATGATCCAATTAATAAGGAGGGCAACGAATCTAGCTAAGAAATATGTCCATATGCGTAAGAAATAGCTCCGAACGTTGTTAAAAAGGCTGTCCAGATACATTGAACAAATGCTGATTTTTCTAGCTATTAAATGCAAACAAATAGAGCCCAAAACCCATTTTAATTGAGGCCCATATAATATGGACGAATTTCAGCAACCCTAAGCCCTATTTTCACCCCATCCACACCTATAAATAGGGGTCTCAGTTGAGAGAAGGAGAGGAGAACTTTCAGACGAAGAAACGCTGCAACAAAGCTCTGAAGAACTCCCGAAAGGCTCTGAACAATTCCGAAGAAGAGGAAGAGATCAAGCCACGTTTTTTTAAGAATATATGAATAATCCTTTGTGATTTCATCTATTCTTGATCAAACAAAGCAAAAGTTGAAGAACGTTCGAAGATCTGAACAACGAAGCTTGAAGATTCGAAGATCTGAAGAACGAAGCTTTGAAGATTCGAAGATATGAAAAACGAATCTTTGAAGATTTGAAGATATTCATATGAAGATTGAATCAAGATTCAACTGAAGATCAAGCCATATATCCCGGGAGGCCCTTTAACAGAAGATCAAGCCATAAAACGGCCCTTTTGTTGAAGATCAAGCCACTTGAAAACCGGAGGCCCTTCAAGCTGAATTCTTTATTCAAGAAGATTTGAAGATCCGAAGAACGAAGGTTCGAAGATTCGAAGATCTCAAGAACGAAGATTCGAAGATCCGAAGAACGTTCAAGTTTTTGAAGAATTAAAGATTTAATTTTTAATTAAATTCTTTAATTATATTCATATCAAATTGCAAGTGAAGAATCGAAGGATTCATATTTAGAGATTGTACCCAATATTCTCACATATTATTATTTGCGATCAATTTTAAGTTAATACTTAAAATTTGTTTCACAAATTTTTGGCACGCCCGGTGGGACATCTCTACCTCTCATCTCTTCACTTTTGATCAAGGTAAACGAACTGATGGCATCAAGCAAGCCCGTGTTCACTTTGAATTCTCGAGCATCGTCAAGCTCAAATCAAAACATGCAAGGCCCTATCACTAGGAGCCGATCAAGAATCATGGCTGCGCAGTCATCTTCGGGAACTACTCCTGATGCAATGGATGGATCTCGAATTGCGCAAGAAATGGCCTGGAAGCTTTCTTCACCCATACGTGAAGTTACTTCCCCGAAGTGGACAAGCGGAGGTGAAAGCTCATCATCTGGATCAGACTCTACTCCCCCGTCAAGTCCTCTACGAAGAACTACTCCGCAGTGGTCGAATGTCTACACTGTGATGCCCACTATGACCACGAGCGCCATGACGATGGAAGAACAAATCGCTCATCTAACTAGGGTCATCGAAGGGATGAGTACGTTCATGCAGAATCAAGACCAAAAGTTGAATGAGCTGAACAACAAAGTAGAAAGCTTGAAAGGCGAGTCAAGTCATAATCATGAGAAGGACCCCGAAGTAAATGAAGAGAATGATCCTCATCAAGAGGATTCGGGCAAGGATATCTCAACCTCCGGGGGCATGATCCCGATTGATCAACTTAAAGACTTCATTATGGGAACCATAAAGGGGAAGATAGAAGGAAACAAATCTACTTACTCCTATGTTAAGCCATACACTCAAAGGATCGAGGATCTAAAGATGCCCATTGGTTACCAGCCGCCGAAGTTCATCCAGTTCGATGGGAAGGGAAACCCAAGGCAACATGTTGCCCATTTCGTGGAAACCTGCAATAACGCGGGAACAAGCGGAGATCATCTGGTCAAACAGTTCGTACGTTCCCTGAAAGCAAACGCTTTTGACTGGTATACTGACTTGGAGCCCGGATCCATTGATAGTTGGCAAGATATGGAACATGAGCTCTTAAACCGTTTCTATAGCACAAGGAGGGTGGTTAGTTTACTCGAACTAACAACTACTCGCCAATGGAAAGATGAATCTGTGATAGCTTACATTGAGCGTTGGAGGGATCTTGCTCTAAACTGCAAAGAACGAATCTCTACAAGCTCTGCTATCGATATGTGCATTGAAGGAATGCATTGGGAATTGTGCTACATTCTCAAAGGAGTCAATCCAAACACTTTTGATGAGCTAGCAAGCAAAGCTCGTAACATGGAGTTGAGCATTATGAGCAATAGAAGGAAACCCGTGGGTAAGTATCCCGTCAATAATGCGGTTGAAAAACAAGATACCAAGAATGGGGGCAAGCCCTTTTCTAAGTCTGAAAAGAAAGAAGCAATGGTCACGAAGACTGCACCTGTTAAGATCTTCACTCAAAATTCAAAGCAAGTTCCTAGAGCCGACTTGGAGGCATCAAAACGTGTTAAACCATTTCTAGAAGAGATGTTGGAAAAGAAGTACCCCTTCTTAGACTCTGATGTTCCTCTCATGTTTGAGGAACTGATGAGATTGAATCTTATCAGTTTGCCCGAGTCTAAGCGACCTGAGGAAGCCATAAAAGTCGATGATCCCAAATACTGCAACTATCATCGAATTATAAGTCACCCCACTAAGAGGTGTTGGGTGCTTAAAGATAAAATTATGGCCTTAGCCCGCGAAGGAAAGATTGAACTAGCTGATTCTGCCGCAAGCACAAACCAAATCAACATTACGTTTGGTAGGTTTGCTCCGCTCATAGCCAACAATGACCTAAGTTCTCACAAGCATAAGCTCCCTTTTACTGTCAAGGAAATGAAAGAATGTCTTCCTCTCACTAAAAGAATGGCACTTGAGGATGTTGATGACCAAGGAAGATCATGGACCTTGGTAACTCAAAAGAAACAAAAGAAGAACCACACACCTAAGCCACAACTGAGGGAAGTGGTAAAGAATTGGGTCAGGAAACAACCGATAAACGAGTTAAAGAAAAAGAAACAAAAGAAGGATCGTGTTTGTTCCAAGACTGCACGAAGTGTGATTACTCTCAACGATTTTATGCCAAAGGATTTCAAGAACGAGATGACTCAAATTTCAAGTTCTTGTCTTAGCAACCATGAAGAAGAAGTTGAGAGTTCAAGTGGATGTCCATCTCTAGTTTCGACTAAGAAAGAAGTGGTCAAACCACAAAAATCTACTTCATATGCCACTGATATTGTCTTTAAAGACGAAGACCTTATGATGGGCGCCACTCCTCATAACCGCCCGCTTTTTGTTGAAGGATATACTCGTGGGAGAAAGTTTAAAAGAGTCATGATTGACCAAGGATCTGCCGTTAATATTTTGACAGTTCGAGCTATGAAAGACCTTGATATATCAATGGATGAACTTTCCCAAAGTTGCTTGATGATTCAAGGCTTTAATTAAGAAGGGCAAAGAGCGATTGGGATGATAAAGCTTGACTTAGTCATCGATGGATTGCAAACAAGTACCTTGTGTCATGTTATTGATGCAAAGGCTTCATACAATCTCCTTTTAGGACGCTCATGGATCCATGAGAACGGTGTAATCCCCTCAACATGGCACCAATGCTTCATGTATGAGCAAAATGGCGTTGTAAAAAAGGTAGTGGCCGATGAAACTCCATTCACAGAAACCGAGACATACTTTGCAGATGCGAAGTTTTACCTAAAGGCCAAAATTTCTAAAGATGACAATGCTAGACAAGAGGAAGAATATCCCTCCTTGATTGGACCAAAGCTCAAAGGAAAGCTTGTTGAAGGCGTAGAAGGGCTTACATTCCCTCTTGCAAAGATTGAGATATCAAGGCCTCCTCAAAACACATCTGAGGATGAAGTGAAAAACGAGAATGATGTTAAAACATTTCAGCTCCCTAAAGCACGCACAAATGAAGGATTTGACCCAAACGCATACAAACTTCTGGCCAAGGCTGGGTATAATCCTAATGAACAAAAGTTGGGAAAACTCATCCCGGAGGCTGGTGGAGAAGGAACACCGAATCAAATAAATTTTCAAGGGCACACAGGATTGGGTTATGTTCAGCCGAAACCCATAAGGATCCTCATAAATAGAGCCGCAACGCATCATATTTGTGCTGATGAAGAAGATGAAGTAACTTGTAAACTGAAATATTCAGTCTTTGATCGGATTGAGGGGGTAAGATCAAGGCCCGCCATCTTTGATAGATTGGGTCCGAAGCCAAAGAAAGTTATCAAGATGACTTTACAAGAACGGCTTGGAACGAGCTCAATGATGATGAAACACGTTGAAGACACATGCACGGGGCAAAACTTCAAAAGAACGTCTGTTCATGAACGATTGGCATTGAAACATGAACGCAATACATCTGCTAAAGTTCCTCTCGAAAAGCAAAGTCTTAATGAGTATAGAAGTTTTATCCCATCTCATATGAAGCGAGAAACAGATGTGAAAGTGACCTATGGGAATGCATTTAAAGTCAAACCAGTGACCATTGTGCATACCCGTGATCAATATGAAGACCAATATGTGAGTTCATACTCTAACAATCCAGTACCCTTGATGTCGGGGTATAGATATGTCAAATAAAATGTTGAAAGCCTTAAACCACTGATAAGTCCATTTTTGTACTTATTTTTCTTATCAAATTTAAGCGATTTTTGAATGAAAATAGAAAGAAAAGGCACATTTTATATATTTTGGTTCAAGTTTCATGAAATCAGGTAAAAATCACATCCATAATATGTTTAGCGGGATTTCGGGTCAATTGAGCACAAAATGAGTCAATTTGAGTGACAAATGCATTTATACCGGAAGAAGCAAGCATTTTATCAAGGTGATTCAGAAGACA